TTCATCTTCTAGAGCCGCCCTTTGAAGTCTTCTGTTCAGTTCTTTTACTTCATCATTTTTCCTTCCGCTTTAGTTATTCTTCATTTCAGAGCAAGTTTCAGAGTCTCTTCTGACATCCATTTTGGCTTTGTTTTCTTCCCTGTCTTTTCATTGACCTTTTGCTTTCTTCATGTATGATGTCCTTGATGTCATGCCACAACTCATCTGGTCTTCAATCATTAGTGTTCAATGCATCAAATCTATTCTTCAGATGGTCTCTAAATTGAGGTGGAATATATTCAAGGTTGTACTTTAGCTCTTGGGGAATTGTTTAAATTTTCTTCAGCTTCACCTTGAACTTGTATATGAGCAATTGATGGTCTGTTCCACAACTGATCGCCTTTTTCTGACTGATAATATAGAGTTTCTCCATAGTCTGTTGCCACACATGTAGTCAATTTGATTCTTGTGTATTACATCTGGCAAAGTCTACGTACACAGTCTCATTGTGTTGTTACAAAAAGATATTTGCAATGAATAAGTCTTTGGTCTTGCAAAATTATATCATGTGATCTCCAATGACGTTTCTATCACCAAAACCATATTTTCCAACTACTGATCTCTTTTTGTTTTCAACTTTCATATTCCAATCACCAGTAATTATCAATGCACCTTGATTGCACGTTTGATTAATTTCAGACTGCAGAGTTGGTAAAAACTTCAATTTCTTCATCTTTGTCATTAAGCTCTGGTAGCGTAGTGCCTAAGGCACTTGACTGCTAACCAGAAGGCTGGAGATTCAAACCCACCAGCCACTCCTAGGAAGGAAGGTTGGGCAATCTACTTCTGTAGTGTTACTGCCTGAGAAACCCGAGGAGGAGTCACTGTGAGTCGGGTCCTACTGGATGGCACATAACAATAACAACAACAGCAACAACATAAATTTGAATAATAGTTGTATTAACTGGTCTTCCTTGCAGGTGCATGGAAACTAGCCCATCACTGACAGCTTTGTATTTCAGGACAGATCCTGAAATGTTGTTTTTGTTGATGAACAGGACTGTTCCTCTCCAGCTAGTCATTCCCAGCATCGTGGACCATGTGATTGTCCAGTTCAAAATGCCCAATACCAGTCCATTCGAGCTCACTAATGCCTAGGGTATGTACCTTCAAGAGTTCCACTTCACTTTTGACAGCTTCGAAATTTCCTTGATTCATACCTTGCACATTCCACATTCTGATTATTAGCGGATATTTGCAGCTCCTTCTTCTTGTGTTGAGTCGTGCCACATCAGCACGAATGAATGAAAGTCCCAAAAGCTTTACTCCTTTGTCTTTAAGATCGACTCTACTTTGAGGAGATAGCTCTTCCCCTTCACATTTTGAGTGCCTAGTGCCTTCCAACCTGAGAGGCTCATCTTCCCGCACTGTCAGACAATGTTTCACTGTTGTTTGTAAAGTTTTCACTGGCCAGTTTTCTCAGAAGTAGACTTCCATGTCCTTTGTCCCAGTGTGTTTCAGTCTGGAAGCTCTGCTCAAACCTGTCCCCCATGAGTGACCCTGCTGGTACTTGATACACCAATGGCATAGCTTCTAGCAGCACCATAACACACAAGCCGCCACAGTATGATAAACCAACAGACAAGTGGTGGACATAAATGGAATAACATACGTAGTTCTTCTAAGTATAGCCTTGTGTCTTTTCCTTTAACTGCTTGCTTCATCTCTCATCCTCCTCTCTTCTTCCACCAACATGACGTTGCCTCAGGACCAGCTGCACAATTTGTAGGCCCCAGTGCGAAATAAAAATGGAGGGTTCCTTGCTTAACAATTTCTGAGTTCCCAGATGACAGCCCCTTGTTCAACAGTTACTAAGAGCTCCAAAATGGCGTAACAGAGCTTTAAACCAAGTGTGGGGCCCTTTAAGGTATGGGACTCTGAGTGACAGCACCAGTCAAAACTCATGAAGCCTGTCTTTCCCCTTTCCCTCAAGCCCACTCAGTTTTAACATTCTGTGTGTGTTCTTCCACACTTACCTCCACGTTCATATAACCAGCCCTTACAGAAGGGTTGTCTTATAAAAGTTGTTTCACGTGTTATACACCTCTCTGCAGTTCGTTTGTTTTCCTCGTTCAACATAGCGTGGAAATTTCTCCAGCTGGAGCCAATCTATGTCATTCTTTGTAGAGACTTCATTAGAGCCACACTGGAAGGGGACTGTCACTTATTCAGCTGTTCCCTGGCAGATGGGCATTCACTCTGTTTTCAATATTTTGCTGCTCAAAAAACTTTGCAATGAACGTTCTTGTCTTTGGTGTCTTAATGCTGTGAAGCAAACGCACAGCAAAGGGTTAAGTTTCCTTTTGAAATAAATTTATTGCAGCAAGAAATGTGAACTGATGTAATGAAAAGCACAGGTGGAGGGTGGTAGCCAGGGTAAGGTAATAATGATGTCCTGAGGGCACAGACCTTGCCCTGGGTCAGGGTGGGAGGAGGGTGGGGGGTAACTTCTGCTTTTGTCCCTGTAACCCAGAAGTCAGAGAACCCAAAAGCTTGGCTGTCTTCTTGGGATGTTGTTGTTTTGTTGTTGTTATGTGCCATGGAGTTGGACCCGACTCATAGCGACCCCTCCTTGGGTTTCCGAGGCAGTATCACTATGGAAGTAGATTGCCTCATCTTCCTTCCGAGGAATGGCTTGTGGGTTTGAACCACCAGCCTTCTGGTTAGCAGTCAAGTGTCGTAGGCACTACGCTACCAGAGCTTCTTGGGGTAGGGGAGGGGAAACACCTACGGCAGAGAAAATAGAACCCTGAGTGGATCTGACATCAATAAACCTCCGCAGGGACAACTGCCCCTGGAACTGGCAGCTCCTCCTCACTGTTTCATTCACTCAGTCAATTCACAGACATTGTGTCAGGTGCCCTGGGAACACAGGCCTGGGCCATCCCTGGGCCCTGCCTGCCGGGGTTTTCTGGTTTAGAGGAAAACACGCCAGCCGTTTTGCAAAAGAAAGTGGTTTCCCAACCCAGAAAGAGGAGACATGGAACTGAGCTAGAGTACCACCCCCATCTGCCATATAGTCACACTCCCATTCATACAATCATACATACACATACGGTCATACACAATCATACAGTCACACCCACACATAGTCACACTCACACACAGTCATACACACACACGGTCAACACACACACAATCACCCTCACACACATGGTCACACACAATCATGCTCACAGTCACATCCACACAAGTCACACTCACACACAGCCACACTCACCTGCAATTACACATACACACAATTCCATTCACATAGTCATGCACAATCATACAGTCACACCCACACAGTCACACTCACACATGGTCATACACATAAACACAGTCACATACAATCACACACAGTTGCACACAGCCACACCCACACATGGTCACACGCAATCATACAGTCACCCACACAAGTCAGTCACATGCAGTCACACTCACATGCAGTCACACTCACATGCAGTTTTACACACAAAGGTCACACACACAATCACACTCACACACATGGCCGTACACACAATTGCACACAATCCCTCACATACACACAGCGGCCAGCCGCCCAGTCTGTCCTCCAGACACACATGGAAATATTGAAAACTGCACTGAGCGCGGGTACCGTTGCTGTGGGAACCAGGGCTATGAAACCCTAGCTTGTGGGTGTCTGAATTCCCTCTCTGACTGTTACATGGCCTTGGAGTTTGTGCTCTGAATTCTGAGTCATCGCCCCTTCAGGGTCAGGCTGGGTAGCCAACCAGCGAGTCAGTGAGGATGTGCCGGGAACAGCTGACTGCTTTCTGTCCAAGTGATGGGGGGCCTAGGCAGGTGCCTGTAGGAGGACTGTACACCTGCATGTGTGTGTATGTGTGTGCAGGTGTGTGCGTGCACACACCCTTATCTGGATGTGAGTCTGTGAGTCTTCCCAGGCGAAGCTCTGAGAACACGAAGCAGCTGTGACTCAGTCTTCAGCCTCTGTATCAGTCAGGCCAGACTGTGGTAACAAGTGCCCCCCAAGACCCTCATGCTTCACAAAAAAAGGTTTACTTCTACACACACAAAATCCCGGTAGGTCGACACCCCTTCCATCTTACAGCCTCTAACATCGTTAGCAAAACACACCAGTTGCCGCCCAGCTGACTGCTTTGTGGTGACCGCACGTGTGTCAGAGTCGGACTGTGCCCCACAGAGGTTTCAATGGCCGACTTCTCAGAAGCAGACTGCCAGGCCTGTTTTCCAAGGTAGCACTTGGACTGCCACCTTTTCGACTTGCAGCCAAATGCATTAACCTTCACACCGCCCAGGGACTCCAAACATCGCTATAAAACCAGAAACCAAACTCACTGCCACAGAGTCAATTCTGATTCATAGTGACCCCCTTTGGGTTTCCGAGGTGAATCTTTATGGAAGTAGATTGCCCAGTCCTCCTTCCGTGGAGTGACTGGTAGGTTTGAACCTCCAACCTTCTGGTTAGCAGTCAAATGCCTTACACACTACACCACCAGAGCACTAAGCAAACATCACTATAGCAGGGCAAAAAGAGATGGAGGAGACTCACTGGTTCTTAAGGAATTGCCTTGGTCCGGAAGGGCACACGTCCTTCTGCCCAGACTTCAGTGGAGTCAACCTAACTGCAGGAGAGGCTGGGGAATGTGGAGGGGCTGGTCTCTGAGCACACGGTCCCTGCCACAGTCTCCCTCTGGCCTTCTGGCAATCAGTACATCCTGACCCAGAGTGGTTCAAACCCTGGATCTGCTACCTGCTGGCTGGGCGGCCTCAGGTGATGCACCAGTCAACGTCCCGACAGGATACAGGCAGCACACTCATAGTAGGAGGGTGTGAAGGGGGCTTGCTTATGAAGGGACTATGTATAAAAGCTGCTGTAGCCAGCAGGGGCTGGGAGACCCTGAGCTGTTACCACACAGGGCCCAAGGAGACAAGGACAGGGAGTGGTCAATGGGACCCAGAAGGAGACAGTCATGAGCATGTTGGCCACCTTGCGAGGTGTGGTGGCCTTCACAGGATGGACACAGCCTGCCATGGGACCTCACAGGAAGGGAGCCAAAGGAATAAACACCCCCAATTCACTCTCCCTGTTCCTAGCTCTGCTGAAGTTCCTACTGGCTGAACCCAAGGGAAGCCAAAGGGCCCAGGAAGCCATTGAGTTTATCCAAACAGGTTAGCCTCCGGGGCAGAGTGCTGTGGAAGGACAAATTATCTGACACAGGCAATCATTTTCCACTCTTAGGGCCTCTGTTTCCTAATCTGTTAGATGGGACTGCTCACTGCGATACTGAAGGCAAATAGAATAATCTGTGCAAAGGCCTGGCACGTGATAAGCACCTCAGCAGATGACACCTTTTCAGTGTCTGAAAGCACTTTGTAATTTAATGGTTCCCAACCCACGATGCTCTGGTTATCCTAAAGTTCGATATGAAATTCTCAGACAGATTCTCTAAACAGAATTGTTTTCCCTAAAAACAACTACCATTTCTGAGTTTCTTCTGTATGTCAGGTATTTTATAGTTATTTTCTCATTTTAACCTCACAATACTTTCCTAAGTGTTACTGCCAACAAATGGGGACTCTGGCACAGAAAGGTTAAGTAACCTGCCCATGGTCACACAGCCAAGAAGAGGTTTCTGACCCCTGAAGCCCACAGCATCCTTCCTTGATCTATTCTGATTTCTGAGCACATGCTAGCAGTTGATAGACGCAGAGAAGGCTGCAACTGCAAAGCTGGAGAATTCTTCCTACTCTGGAAAGAGGAAAACGCACCCAAGGCCCAGGATGGAGTGTTTCCACAGGTCTCTACAGTCACAGTGGGCTCTGGAAACTGCCCTGCCATCTTGGGGGCTCTGTGCCCTCCCGAGCCTGAGCTCACTCACCCACAGGCTGCTGCTGGTCAATTTCAGGTCCCTCGACTCCAGCGCAGCCCGACCAGCTCAACACCAGCCGTGCAGAGAGCGAGCCCTCGGAGCCAGGTGAGGAAGCAGTCATTCTGGGGGGTCCACAAGAGGCTTTTCCAGATCAAGTAGGTGGCACCCAGGGTGATGGGAAAAGGAAGCAGACTTTTAGGTACCAGGTAAGGTCCTGGCTTCAGACAACACTTCTGCTTCCTGACATAATGCCTGAACCCCCATTAGAGTCACTCTGAGATCTTAGAATTCATCTCTGAGAGGCCTGATGAGAAGACAAACCCCTGAGCAAGATATTCAGAGAATACTTTAAGGGGGTTGGTTAAGAGCAAACTAAAGAACCGTTTGTAGGAGGGGGTGGGGTTCACCAGGTGGTTTTTTATTTACTCTACAGATAAGTATTAAGCACTGACCCTGCAAAGCTGTTGGGGGTGCAACCCTGGGCAAAAATGGGCAGGTAGTTCCCCAATGTGGGGCTCTGGGGAAGGAAGGACCTCTATCAATGAAATAGTCCCCATCCCAGCGTCTTTCAGGGACGCCCTCCAGGGTCCTAGGACACCTGGCTACCTCTGTGTGGAACCCTCAGGGAAAGCAGTGTCCACTGTGGCCAAGGCCCCCAAACCTATAACTTTGCTCTAATTTCATCAGGGGGTCCCCTTGGAGGCAGGGGCAGAGGAGGGTTTGTGGAGACTGTCACTCCAAGCCTAAGTCACCCTAACCTCCAAGGCCACCTCAGAGCCTCACCTTCTCTTGACTCTAAGGAGAACCAGAAGGCAAGGCCTCAAAGAGGTTCTGAGGTGAGCCGGCAGCCCCATTTTGCAGAGGGGGAGGCTGGGGTCCGGAGATGGGTAGGGCATTGTTCGAGGTCACACAGCGGGTTAGTGGTGAGCCTGGACTGCTGCCGGCCCTGCCCCTGGAATGGGCAGAGTCACAGTCCTCTGAGGCCTCAGCCTGCGTGTGATGCCTGCAGGGGAGAGACTCGGGGTGCGCCTGGTGAACGGAAGCAGCCGCTGTGGCGGGACTGTGGAGGTCTGGCTCCGGACAGCCTGGGAGCCAGTGTGCGGGGCGCTGTGGGACAACCGCGCCGCGGAGGCCGTGTGCCACGCCCTGGGCTGCGGCGGGGCACAGATGTCCACCCAGGCCGCCCCGACGCCCGGGGAACCACCTCCCGGGGCCGCCGCCGGGAACGCCAGCGAGGCCTGGAACGCCACCCAGGCCTTCGCACCCGCCATCCTGTGCCACCAAGCCGACTGGCAGTTCTGCGAGGTGCAGGGCGACGCGTGTAGCAGCGATGAGAGAGTGGCCCAGGTCACCTGTGCAGGTAGGAGTGAACCCCTCCGGCCCGCTGTAGGGTGCCTGCTCGCCCCACCCCCCAGGCCTTCAGCCACTGCCCCTCACTCCTGCCCCCAGCACTCGCCAGTGGGCCCGAGGCTCACCCGCTGACCTCCAGTTCCCCGCGCCCCCAAACGCCAGCACCACAGGTTCCCACCCCAGGGGGCTGCAGCCATTGGATCTCCCATTTCCTCAGATTGGGCCCTCAGACTCCTCCCCCACCTACAAATACAGATGGGACACTCTGTCCCCAACCTGACTGCTTGAGTCTCCAATCCTAACTGGGTCTCTATCTCTGCCCACTGCCCTCTCCATCTCTATCACCGCCCCTTTCCCCACCGACGACAGGTTTCCTGGGACCTCTAGCACAGTCCCTCCCTTGACCCTAGACCAGGTCTCCAGGCCCCGCCCACCAGGGCCTCCAGTCCCGCCCACCAGGTCACCAGCCCCTCTCATTGGGTCCACAGCCCTACCCGCAACCCGCCCACTACGCATCACCCCCTCCTCCACCCCTTCCCTTCCTCCCTTCGGCCCCACCACCCACAAAACACTTCCCCTGGGGCACCCACGCCCACCCTCAGAGGACCGTGCACTGCGGCTGAGGGACGGTGGCGGCAGATGCGCGGGCCGCGTGGAGATGCTGGAGCGCGGAGAGTGGGGCTCGGTGTGCGACGACACGTGGGACCTAGAGGACGCCCACGTGGTGTGCCGGCAACTGGGCTGCGGCTGGGCGGTCCAGGCCCTTCCTGGCTTGCACTTCGACCCCGGCCAAGGGCCCATCCACCGGGACCAGGTGAACTGCTCCGGGTCGGAAGCCTACCTGTGGGACTGTCCTGGGCTGCCTGGAGACCGCTACTGTGGCCACAAAGAGGACGCAGGCGTGGTGTGCTCAGGTCAGTGGGCTGTATGGCAGAACCGAGGTCATCCATAAACACTTACGGAGGGCCTACTGCACACCAGGCGGGGGGTAGTGCTGGGGAGATGGACGCTGCCGCTGGCAGGCACCGTCAGGAGGGGAGAGGAGACCTGGGCAAAAATACTCAGGAGAGAAGTGGGAAATGCCCTAGATCAGGTCAAATTTAGGGGCACTGGCAATCCAGAGAGGAGGGGTAAGCCCCATTGTACCCCCTGGAGAGGGAGACACTGCACGTATGACTCTTCCTTAGAGGGGTTTGGTCACGTGATCCAGAGCCAGAAGTGCAGGGGAGAGTGGAGGCAGGGAGGCCCTTGAAGCTGTCCGGATGCGGCCCAGTGAGGCTCTGCTCCACTCAATCCTTGTCCTCATCTGCCCAGGAATCGCCGGGCTCCTGTTAGAACACAGATTCTGATTCGCCAAGTCTAGGGCAGTGCTTGGGGATTCTGCATGTCTAACAAGATCCCAGGCAACATTGATGCTGCTGGTCCATGGACCGCACTTTGAGAAGCAAGGCTCTGGGGTATGGAGAAGGAGCCCTGGTGGCACAGTAGTTAAGCGCTCCACTGACAACCGAAAGGTGGGTGGTTTAAACCCACCAGCAGCTCTGTGGGAGAAAAGACCCAGTGATTTGCTCCGTCAAAGATGACAGCCTAGGGAACTCTATGGGGCAGTTCTGCTCTGGCCTACAGAGACACTACAAGTCGGAATCGACTTGACAACACACAACAAGAAGAATGGGGCAGGACACAAGGTCAGAGTGTACAGGGAGGATGAGAGAGATGTGGATGTGAGAGGGAGAGTATGTGGGAAATGGAGACTGATTGGCTGGGGTGGGGGCCCTGCATAGATAGGTCTAGCCTGGGGGGCTGGTTTCAACCAAAAGGATCCTGACCTGTCCCCCACGTTTCTGCACCCCCGCAGAGCACCAGTCTTGGCGTCTGACAGGGGGCACGGACCCCTGTGAGGGGCAGGTGGAGGTCTACTACCGTGGGGTCTGGAACACGGTGTGTGACAGTGAGTGGTACTCACCAGAGGCCATGGTCCTCTGCCGGGCCTTGGGCTGTGGGATCCTGGACAGAGTGCCCAAAGGGCTGCCCCACTCCTTGCCGGGCAGGATGTACTACTCCTGCACAGGAGAGGAGCCCACCCTCTCCGACTGCTCCTGGCGGTTCAACAACTCCAATCTCTGTAGCCAGTCGCTGGCGGCCAGGGTCCTCTGCTCAGGTATCGCCCTCTCCCACCCCACCCCCTCCTTAGAGCCCTAAGACCCATGTCCTAAGAAGTTGCAGCCCAAGGACCAGGGCGTGGACTAGATCAGGCATGACAAATACTGGCATAAGAGGCACCACTGCCCTTACCATGCCCAGGCAGACATTACTAATTGATCAGGGCACTCTTTTCCACAGATCCTTGACTCAGCCCGAGAATCATGAACCCAATATTTATTAAGGCATTATTATATGCTAAGTGGGGTCAGTGGTGGTTCAGTGGCAGAATTCTCACTTCCCATGCGGGAGACCCAGGATCAATTCCCAGCCAATGCAACCACACACAGCCACCACCCGTCTGTCACAGAAGCTGCTGTGTTGCTAGGCCACTGGACAGGTTTCAGCAGAGCTTTCAGATTAAGAAGAAGTAGGAAGAAAGGCCTGGTGAACCACTTTTGAAAATCAGCTAATGAAACCCTGTTGATTACAACAACCTGATCCACAGCTGACCCTGGGAACCTTGCAAGGGCAGGCAGCATTTCACTCTGCTGGGCATGGGGTCAGCCTGAGTTGGCATGGCAACAAAAGACACTGCCTGATTTGATGGCAGACAACAATAACCACGGTACGTTCAGCAGTGGTCCTTCCTGACTGGCATTGGCTTGGGAGATAAAACCAATGTGCTCTCCCCAGGCTTGCAAGAATATTAAATTAAAATATCATGTTAAAACTAATATTAGGGGAGACTACCACTAATACCAGGTACCACATCTGGAACCCCTAACGTGCCAGCAAGCACTCAGCATATTGTATTCTCAGTAAGCCTCCCACCTACTCTGTGGTGTGCATTTTACCGTATTTCACTGAATCTGAGATAGCATTGATTATAAGTCACAGCACTGTTTTATGTACCATGAAGAAAGAAAAAAGAAAAAAAAAAAATGCTTCCCACAACAGCTCTTGAGACATGTCAGTTGCAATGCTCGTCTTGATTTCAGAGGTGTGCCAAAGCGAGCGTTAGACGTGAAGAAACACAGTTTGGAAAACACACTGTGAATTCAGACTCCTGGTTACGAAGGCCGGCACTGTGGTTTACCAGATGGGCGGCTGTGAACAGCCCGTCAACCTCCCCCCGGGCTTCAGTATCCTGGATGCAAGGGTTTTGATACTGGCCCCTCCCAGGGCTGCTGGGAAATCAGCCTGTCCTTGCAGGAGACCTCTGGATGCTCCCTCCCTTACCTGTCAAGTGGGAATGCTGACTATGACAGTGGCGAGGACCTCCAGACTGAGTGGGAAGGGGATGTGTGGTCTGGAGCAGATTATACAAACCAGCAGCCAGCTGCCCTGGAGTCCTTCTGACCCATGGTGACCCCACGTGTGTCAGAGCAGAGCTGTGCTCCGTGGGCTGCTCAGAGGCTGATTTTCAGGAGGTGGCCAGGCCTTTCTTCAGGGTGCCTCTGGGTTGACTCAAACTGCCAACCTTTTGATCAGCACCCAAGTGTTAACTGTTTGCACCACCCATTAACCCCTTTAGTTTAACCAAAGAATTTTCCCACTATTTAATCCAGCGGGGAGCTGGGATCTCTTTAGCCATGTCCCCCAGATGGGCACTCACCCCCAGTCCTAGGACGCCTGTCTGTCGTGTTCAGTTTCTAGGCCTGGCACACAGTAGGTGCTCAGTCAGTATGTGTTATGTTAATGAGCACTGCTTTCTGACAGGTTTCCGCAATCTGTCCTCTCCTGAAGTCTCCTCTAGTCTTCAGCCGGTCACTGCAGGTGAGTGTGGCTAACTCTGCAGCCTCTCAGGGTGTGTGTGTGTGTGTGTGTGAGAGAGAGAGAGAGAGAGAGACAGAGTGTGTGTGTCTGCTTAGGAGGGACCTGCTGGCCTGTCCCCCTAACCCCCATCTCCAGATTTACCTTGAGGGGGGCTTGCACTCTTACCACCCTCCATCCCCCACATCAGCCCCCTAACTCACAGAGACCTGACTTTTTCCCCACGCTCCTGTAGGGTAGGAGGATAGAGCTCCTTTGATCTCGCCTTGGGAGCTGGGGGTGACCCTGGCCCAGGAGTGGTGGGGGCCAAGGACAAGAGCCAGGGTAGTTAGAATGTTCCAGGCTTTATAGCCATTGTTTTCCAGCCCTTTAATCCTCCCAGCAGCCCAATGGGGAGGGGGACTGTCATGGTAACCCTTATACAGAGGAGGAGGTTGGCTCAGAGAGGGAGGGCAAGGCCAGTCTGGAATCCCATCTGAGGCTCTGAGCTCTGTATCATGCCTGGTCCATCCATCCACCAGGCCTGTGCAGTGAGGCTGGCACCAAGGCAGACTCCCTGGGTTCAAATCTCAGCCCTGACACTTGATAGCTATGTAGTGTTGGGTGCTCAGAACCTCTCTGAGCCTCAGCCTATAAATAAACCTCCCTCCTGGATGTACTGTGAGGCTTCAGTGAGTTAATTACTTTATTATGGAAAATATAAATGTAACAAAGCATTTGATAGTTCAACAATCTTCACACATACAGTTCAGTGACGTGAATTATGTTTTTCATGTAGTCTAACCATCACCCTTTTCTCTTCCCAAATTATGTATGCCATGATCCCCCAACAGAAGCTAAGCACTGAGAATGAGTTCATTTTTATAAGGTGCATAGGCTAGAGCTTTGTGCATGATAAGCACTGTCTGAGTGTCACCTGTTCCTATGATGTAGTCCAGGCATAGAGCCCCTTGGTCCCTCCCCCAGACCCTGAGGTCACCTTGGCAGGCCCAAAGTACTCCCAGATTGGCCCACTTCATGGAGCTGTATGCCCTTCTCCTGCCTCCTGGCTCCCTCTTACCTTCCTCAGACACTCTATAGAGGAGGGTGGGCCGGGGCCTTCGGAGGGTGGGAGGGGGAAGAGCACTCTCTGAGTGCGGCAGCCTGGCACTGTCTGAGGGCATGGCAGGGGGTCAAATGCTGGGAGTTGGTGCAGGCTATAGAGTGACTTCTGCCAGCCTCTCTGCCTGACATCCCTGCACAAACATGCCCGTTCACACCACCTCGGTACCTACTTTTTCCCTCAAGTCTGGGTGGGGGAGTCATGAGACGTCACAGGAGCAAAGAGAGACCCAGTCTCCAGGGACCCAAGGGACTCAGCCCTTGGTGCATCAGCCCTTTCCACAGCCCAGCCCCTCTGGGCCCTCATTCCACTGGTCTCCCCTTCGCCTAGCAGCCCCGCCTCTCCCTGACACACCTTTCAGTGCTGCAGCTAAATCCAGGTGGAAAGAGGGGGAGGAGGAAAGAGAGGCAAGGGAGGTGGTGGTCACCAAGGCCATCAGACACTGCTCCCACCCCTCACCCCGTCCTGACCTGTCCCTACCTTTCAAGCTAAGCAGGAGGCGTCTCCTGAATTGTCCAGTGAGGGAGGGCCCCGAGTGCACTATGGCAGCCTCCTTCCATTCGCATTCTTCTGGTTCTTTTAAGCAGAGATGGGAGAGGGGAGGGCAGGAGACCCAGCAGAGCAGAGGTAGAGCAGTGCCTGCTGGGAGGGTCAGTAAGCACGGAATGGACGGATGGATCTCGTTCTCCTCATGGTCTCTTCCCTGCAGAGGGTGGCTTGGAGTCACCTTCTCTGGAAAGCCAGCCTCGATCCTCCCACCTAGAGCATTAGTAGCCCTCATTGGGTTTCTTGCCTCCCAAGGTCCCTCTCCATATCCTCATCACCCCCATAATGGGTTGAGGTCTGCTTGCCAGCCTCCCCATGAGACACGGCCCCAAAAGGCCTGGGACAATGTTGCCATATTCGTATCCCCGGAGTCCAGTGTGCATTCTGTAATCGTCCATTGAATGAAGACTCCATGGTACTTGAATAATGGAACTTGAGGACAAGAGAGGAGAGTGGGCCCTGTAGGCTGGTGGTCAGAGGAATGTGTCAGGCAATACACGCTCAGTCAATTACACGTTCACTCAGTATGATTTATAGAGCACCAGCTGTATACCAGATACTTAAAAGCAGATGGCCAAGATTGACAAAAGGAAGGGAAGGGTGAGAAAGAGAAGTGGGTCAGCTGTGGAGGGGACGGAGCGGTCGGAAGGGCATTCTGCTTTCTCCTTGAGTTGGGGCTCTTGCTTCCAGAACCTTCTGTGACAGTGAGAACGGAGGACAAGGAATCTCAGGAGCTAATCCTCCTCATCTTCTGCATCATCCTGGGAATCCTCCTCCTGGCCTCCTTCATTTTCATAGTCTTCATCCTCTTGAAAATGAAAGGAAAATACGGTAAGTGCAGAGTTCTGGGAGCCAGGGGACAGGTCTAGGGACAGGAAGAAGCAGGCCTGAGGTGCAGCTGTCCCCGAGGACTATGAGCATTTGGGGGAAGCTCAGCAACGCGCCCACCCAGTGTGGCTCCTGAGAGCATCTCCTGAGGTGGAGGATTCTCCCAGCATGCTCTGCAGAGGTGGGCCTACCAGAGAGGACCAGGATACGTGTGTGGAGGCTGGGAGGTGTTGAAGTGAGAACAGACCCAGGTAGACTGGGGGGGGGGGCGAAAAAGGACTTGTAATGACTTGTGGATGCTCTGCCTCCCCTCCCTCAGCCCTCCCTGTCACGGTGAACCACCAGCACCTATCCGCCACCACCCCAGCAGGGATTAATAGCTATCAAGATGTCCCCATCACCATCCCCAAAGAAGGTAGGATGGTACCCATCCTGGTGGTGGGGCTGGCTGGGGAGGACACGAAGGCATGCCTTCTGGAGAGTTAGTACTACTTGAATCAGAACAGTGCCCCAGCTGGACACAAGGCCCGAGCTGGCCCACTAGCAGCTGTGGGACCTTGAGAAGGTCCAGCACCCTCTCTGGGCCTTAATGGGCAGATGGTACTTCCAGTTCATTCATCCTGGGATTTGCTTCCCAATTATGGACCAATGTAGGCCAAGAGTTTTTTGGATCTTAGTTCTCAGAGGAAAGTCTTACTCAAAACTCACTGCTATCGAGTTGATTCTGACTCATAGTGACTCCCACTGCGTTTCCAAGGATGTAAATCCTACAGAAGCAGACCACCTCATCTTTCTTCTATGGAGTGGCTTTAAGCACGGGAGCTCTGGTAGCATAGTGCCTAAGGCACTTGACTGCTAACCAGAAGGCTGGCGGTTCAAATCCACCAGCCACTCTCGGAAGGAAGATGGGGCAATCTACTTCCATAGGGACACTGCCTCGGAAACCCAAGGAGGGGTCGCTATAGTTTGGGTCTGACTCAATGGCACATAACAACAGCAACAGCCTTAAGCACTACACCACCAGAGCACCAGTTTGTGGCTTCAACAGCCCACATTAATCAGCCTCCCTGGCAGACCCCCATTAAGATTTTCCTGGAACATAATTCTATTTCGTATTTTCTGAATAAAAAAAAATGAGTAAATATCTAAATTTATACCTCTTAAAACTCTTGCCTAGCCAGTCAAGGTTAATGACATTGTATTATATTAAATCATTTCTACGAGGAAGAGTTCAGTGGCATGAAAACCAATACAAAACTCAGCCAAATATTAGGAATACTCTGTACATAGTGTTCATATACGCAGCAGACAATATGAACACAGTGCCAGGGACAAGGCCAGGTGTGCTCACTTGGAAACACCATATAGAGGTGAAGAGCCAGACTGCCTGCTGCTCTGGGCAAGGTGGTCAGCCTCTCTGTGGGAATACTAATGGACCTCCATCATGGAGTGAGTGTGAGGATGAAACAATTTTTGTTGTTGTTGTTGTGTTGTCGAGTTGGACCCGACTCATAGCGACCCCTCCTTGGATTCCTGAGGCGGTATCTCCACGGAAGTAGATTGTCCCATCTTCCTTCCGAGGAGTGGCTGGTGGGTTTGAATTGCCAGCCTTCTGGTTAGCAGTCAAGTGCCTTAGGCACTATGCTACCAGAGCTCCGAAATAATTTTTACTCTTTATAAATGTTCAAATAGTGCCTAGCATGTACTGAGTGCTGTATAAGTGTTTGTTACACAGACAAGTGTTAAGGGAGTCCCCATATTTGCGGTGGAGTAGGGAGAGGGGTTGGGAATCCAGGCTGGATAGTGTTCACCCTGCCTCTCTGCCTCCTTCCCACCAAGCATGTTCTCTTTCTCCCACCCTGTCCTTTCTGCCCGCCGTTTTGCCATACCCTCACTCTGCTCTCTTCCCAGTTCCCAAGCTGCCCATCCAGGTCCGGGCACCACCCGCTCAGGACTCGGACTCCAGCTCCGACTCGGACTATGAGCACTATGACTTCAGCGCCCAGCCTCCCGTGGCCCTGACCACCTTCTACAGTGAGTGCCTGAGGGACATGACCCATCACCCCAGGGAGCTCACCCAGCTGGCCAGGGCACCTTCCGTGGCTTCTGCCTGGTGACTCCTCCAAGGCGTGGCCAGAGTCCCCTTCTTACCCAGTGGATTGACTGTCCATGGTCCTGCACAGAAGTTTTCAAACTGCTTTGTGACCTTGGCCCGAGGGGTTCCAAGGGGCGGCTCCATCGGCTGAAGTTTCCTTCCCGTTTCCGCTCTGACCTCCTTCTCCCCCATGTTGGTCTCTGGCCAGGTGGGGTCCTCAGACCATACCCAGGCCCCCAGCGTTCACCAGATGGTGGCTGCATCGGTGTGAGACAGGAGGGAGCCCAGGCAGGGGACGCAGTTCTGATGGCTTCTTGCTCATTCATATTCCTTCAGCAGCTCCTTCTGCACTGTCTGACCCCGTCTCTGCCTTCCTCTCGCCATCCTCCACTGTGACCCCAGCTCTCACCTATTACACGGCTTGTCCAACTCTTTGGTCTGCTGCTGGGGTCAGGGAGCAGGGGCAGAAAGAGGAAAGACAGTGCTTAAGGCCAGGCCAGGCCGTGCTGGGAGGTTGGACCAGACCAGAGACTTCACTGGCAGAATCATGTGGGAGGGTGTCAGCAGTTCCGATTCCTGAGCCCCAGTCCACACCTGCTGGATAACTTAGGATGAGAGGTTGGCTGTGTGTGGCAGGCCTCAGGTGACCTGAGAAGCGGCAGGGGCCTCAGCTTCCCCTTTTTCCTCCTCTGCAGTCCCTCATCCTCATGATCCAGGAAGGCTCAGCACCATATCTGCACCCTACTCAGTGGAGCTGGGGGAGAGGCATCCCCTACCCCAAGGCAGGACCCCCGAGATGCTCACATCACTTCCACTAACGTGCCATTAGCCAGACCACAAACACACTAGCTGCAAGAGAGTCAGGAAAACAGCCTCCATCCTGGAGAGCTGTGGTCTCTGTTCTGGTTCCCCAGTGCCACTCTGACAGGAATATACCACAAATGGGATGGCTTTAACAAACAGGAGTCTATTCTCTTATGGTTTTCTGGAGGCTAGAAATCTGAGTTCAAAGTTCCAGGCTCTAGGGGCTGGGTGAAAGCCCCTCAACCTTGGGCTTCAGCTCTGCCTCTTGGTCTCAGCCCACTGAAGCTGGAAGTGTCTGTTCAGGCAGCTGCTGGCTGCTGAAGCTGACAAACCCAGGGTTGACAAGTGAAAAGGCAAGTCTCAATGTTACCAAACCACTAATTCAAGTCCAGAAAAAGTCCCAAGATCGGCAGGGCATGGCAGGCAGATGAACAACAACTTGACTACATGCAGGGTTCAAACGTGCCAAAAGGCTGGAGACCTTCCTCAAAGCTGCTTCTTATATACGGGAAGAAGACCACATCACTAAGGCAGCTACTTAGCTGCTCCAGTAGATTCCACTATGGAGTAAATTGCCAATGTCACCATGGGGAATGACTGCGTCCAGCTGCCCAGCCACTCAACCAGGCCCAGCCAGGTGGACACACAGTCTTAACTACCACCGCCTTCTAGGAGAGAGGGAGGGGAGGATGGCTGGTGGGGAGCAGCTAATGAACCAGGGCCTCAAGGGGTAGGATACAGATGGTCCTACCTCAGCTGGTCCAGGGACCAGTCTTTGGGAGCCACGGGGATGAGGTGTCTTGAGAATTCTGACCCCAAATGTGTATGATTCAAAAGACCCTGTCACTGCCATTGAGTCAGTTCCGACTCATAGCAACCCTCGGGGGGTTTCCAAGGCTGTAAATCTTTACAGAAGTAGATTGCCGTGGAGTGACTGCTGGGTTCGAACCATTGCCCTTCTGGTTAGCAGCCAAATGCCTTATGCACTACACCACCAGTTCCATTTCAAAAAGACCCTAACAGTCCAAAATTCTGTGCCACTGAGACTAAAAATTGGTGTCACCAAAGGTCGATAGGATTGACTCAAATGTTTAAGACTCTGAATCTAAGTTTCTCTGACTGAAACTTGGGGTGTCGCAGGGCCTGTGATGCAAAGACCTCTGTCCATCTGTCCTCTGCCCTTGAAGAACAAACTTCTGTCCTTGTCGTGCCCAGAGCTGCCAGGGCCTGGGAGAGAACCCAGGACACTTGATGTCCCTGACTACCAGGAGGGGCATCTGGGGGTGGGCTGCAGGACATGGGGTCTCTGGCCACAGCATCCCCCCTTGTCTCAGGCATCCTGTGCTTGTTTCAGGTAGAGATGGGTCTGCCCGGTCCTGAGGTTAGTGGTCCGCCTGGGATTCGATGGCAATGCCACACCCCTGCGACTTTCCTCTCATCCCTGTTCAGCCTCAGGCATACCCTCTGAAGCCCCAAGGACCCCCAGCCCCCACGGCCATTCCCAAGACATAGAGGTTGAGCCTTCACCCCTCCCCCATCACCCCCTCTGCTTGCAGATTCCCAACGGCACCGAGTTACTGATGAGGAGATCCAGCGGAGCAGGTTCCAGATGCCCCCCTTGGAGGAAGGTGAGTCAGGTTGGGGGGAGTCTGGGGGTGGGGAGGTCATTAGGATGCCAGCCCTGCCTCCGCACTTAGTAGTTCAGCTCACTGTGAAGAGCACCAGCAGCAGCCTTCTGCAACAGGTCCTTCCTATCTTGAGCAGTTCCTATTGGCAGTAGTAAGTTCTTCCTCAGGTCTAACTTAAAGCCCTCTTGCTGCGTTGCTTCTTCTGTCCTCACCATTCTCCTGCTCCTGGCCCAGGACTTGAAGGGATCCATGCCTCGCGGTCCTACCTGCAAAGCCCTGGATATTGTGTTGCAGACCCCGCCTCCCCGGGTCCTCAGCAGCAGCCAGTGCATGACAGTAGCTCCAGCACGTCCTCTGGGGAGGATTACTGCAACAGCCCCAGGAGCAAGCCGCCTCCGTGGAACCCCCAAGGCTTTCCTTCAGAGGAGAGCCCCCTCCTGCAGCAGCCCCCCAACTTGGAGCTGGCTGGCTCCCAGCCCATTCTTTCGGGTAAGCTGGGCCCAGGAGGATTCCTAGGTGTCCCCCAGCCTCCCACCCTGCAGCCAGCCTGGCTGGAGGGAGCACAAAGCTAGCCCCCCAGCCCCGGAGCAGGCTGAGCTCTGGATTCTAGTCTCAGCTCTGCAGCCACCGGCCTGGCCCAGTCTCCTCTCTCCTCTGGATCTTCGTGTCCTCGTTTGTCAAGCGAGGGTTTGGGTCCCCTGAGCTGGGCAGGCCTCGAGAAGTTTGCAAGAGTGGCTGTCTCTAGGCAAAGGGTAACCATCTCCAGGGTTTCCAGCAGGGACCTCGGCTGGTGACAGCTCCAGCACCTCGTCCGGTGGAGAGTGGTACCAGAACTTCCAGCCGCCACCGCAGCCCCTCTCAGTGGAGCAGTCTGGGTGTCCAGGTACCAGAGGCTGGGCACGGGGACCCTGGGAGGGAAACAGAGAGGGCTGGGGAGTGGGTGGGTCAGGGAGCTCTGGATTGGTTGGCTGGATCAGCCCAAGGGATGGACAGGGAAAGGAAGAGAGGGAAAGGGATTTTTATTTAAAATAAGTAAATAAAAGCAGGCACATAAACACCTGAGATGATCAGATGGGGGTTAGTGAACAGAAGTATACTCTAGACCAAGGATAGATTCAGCTGAGGCTAATCTTGCACAGACACCAGTAATACAAAATACCTGCAGTCCTTACAGAAACAATAGAAGAGAGACACAGAGTAATCCCTCACAGACAGCCAGACACTGTGAGACAGAGATCCAATAGATCTACCGTCTCAGGACCATAGTACTGGGGGGCACCAGACTCAATTGGCACAACAAAATACATAAAAGTACTAGATGGTGCCCAGCTACCAATGCCAACCACTCAGGAAAGGATCAACTCTGGAGATCCTGGATAGGGTGGGAGGGAAAATGTAGAACAAAATCCAAACACTCAATAATGACCACAATTACTGGTCAGATTAAATCTGGTGAGACCCCCCAATATTATGGCCCTGGAATACATTCTGCCCCTGGGAAAAAACGCACCCCCAGGGGCTGGCTCTCAGCCCAATAGTTAACAAGATGTACACGCAGACCACTCAACCCAAAAACAAATAAATAAACAGACGGTGAGGATATGGGTGGGATGAAGAAAGATTCAAAGAGATAGAATAGGCTGCTTTGAGAGGAAGTGAGTTCCCCGTTAGTGGAAGCATTCAAGCAGAAGCAGCCAGATGCCCCTTGGGGGAGAGTGTTATAGCAGTAGGGCTCTCAGAATTCAGTCGCTCATCATGTGCCTTGTGCCAGTGTGGGGCTACAGCTGTGAACCGGATAGACAAGGGCTCGGCCCTCATGGCTGACCATCCAGAGTAGGAGCTGGCAGTGGGTGAGACGCGAAGGTGGTTTGGGGCAGCGTCACAGGGGAGGGGCTAGCTCAGCTCTGTCCCATGGGCCGCAGAGGCAGTGGCTGGGCCTGCGGATGACCTGAGCCTCCCTGTCCTACAGGGTCCCCCAGTCCCCAGCCTGACTCCACAGACGATGACTATGATGACATCGGAGCAGCCTAGACTGAGCCTAGCCAGGGCTCCCAGAGGGCCACACAGGCCTCCTGCTCCATCCACTCCCTCAGCCCACCCCTTTCTCCCGGACCAACCCCCAAGGGGCTTGATCGGGGTCAGGAGGCCTCCCTTGGACAGAAGAAAGGAAACTCCACATGCTGTACCCCTCAATCTCCATCAAGCATGCCCTCTCTGCATCAGACAGAACCTGCTGGGAGAGTCCTGCCTTGGCTCTAAACAGCAGCCCCAAGAAGGAGGGTGCCTCTGAGAGGTAGTGAGCTCTCTGTCTAAGAAGCAAACAAGCAGAATGGGTGCCACTTCTCAGCAGCTTACATGTAGCAGTTGAACCCCCTCTGATCCGTGGTGTCTGGTTCTTTGATTCCGTGAGTCTCAGACAGCTCAGGGCCTAGAGGTACTGAGAAGGGCAGAGATGGATTCCTATCCCTGTGCTGCTCAAGGAAGCCCCATGTGCTGTTGTCACCAGACAGGTGGATGCTGAGGGGCAGGGCTGACCCCGGTCCTCGACATTGGCTACTGCACCTGGCCTGGCAGTACAACCTTCCCTGGGTGCACCCAGGTGGCAGCAAGCAGGACAACTGTGTGCCTCCACCCAGGAGCTGGGACCTGAGGCTGGCCCTGCCTCTAGAGATTCTGACAGCCCACCTAGGCACAATCCAGTTCTGATTTCCCTGGACAACTGCTCCTTATTCTGAGCTTTCTGTGGGTTACAAGGATGGCCCAGCCCAGTGCCTCACAGAGCCCAGAGGTGGGGACTGGGGGCAGGAGCACAGAGATGTGTGCCAGGAGGCGGCCAGAGTCTGCACTAAGCCCTGAGTCCCCGTCATCTCCTTGGCTGGAAGGGAGGCTCCTGACGGATGCCATGAATGTGCCGTGTGACACCCAGAGCTGCAAACATGGCCTGCTGTCCAGGCCGGCTCCAGAGAGAGGCCCCAAGGCCTGGGCCAGGCTCGGGTGTCCTGTTCTGAATATCCTGAGATTAAACCAAATTGCTGAAGGAAACTGGAGTGTGGAGTGGCAAGCTCTTTGCACTGTACTTGTTCTGGTTCCCTAGTGCCACTCTGCCAAGAATATACCACAAATGGGATGGCTGAAAAAACAAGAGTTTATTCTCTTATAGTTGGAGGCTTTGAGTCAAAGTTCAAAGTGCCAGGCTCTAGGGGCTGGGTGAAAATCCCTCAACCTTGGGCTTCAGCTCTGCCTCCTGCTTCTGGGCCACTGGAGCTGGAGGCTTTTCTTCACTCAGACAGCTGCTGGCTGCTGAGGCTGACAAGCCTAAGGTTGGCAAATAAAAAGGCACAGTCCCGATGTTACCAAACCACATGGCAGGCCATTAATTCAAGTTCATTGAAAGTCCCAAGGTCAGCAGAGCCTGGCAGGCTGCTAAACAACGGCACAGCTACATGCAGGGTTCAAGCCTGCTATCAGCCAGAGACCGTTCCCAAAGGCTTCTGCTTATATACAGGAAGCAGACCACATCTCTAAGGCAGCTACTCAGCTGCTCACAGTAGAGTCCACCATGGAGTTGATGACCAGTCTCCTCATGGGGAATACTACATTCAGCTGTCCAGCCACTCAGCCAGGCCCAGCCAAGTTGACACACAACCTTAACTACCACTGTACTGTACTCACAAGTTCTTAGTGAAGACTAGAGCTGAGCACAGACCAGACACTGTTCCAATGGCATGGTCAACCAGCGTTCATTACCCACAGAGTAAGCAGGAGAGGAATGAGTAGAACAGCAAACACCCTCCTTGGCCAAGGTTCCCCAAGTCAGACTCCTGTGCACATCTGTGCACATCCCACTTGGCACCATGGGAGTTCCCGAAGCCCCTCTCTCCCTGGGCTAGTGTACTAACAGGACAGCTGTGT